TCTCTCTCTCTCTCTCTCTCTCTCTCTCTCTCTCTCTCTCTCTCTCTCTCTCTCTCTCTCTCTCTCTCTCTCTCTCTCTCTCTCTCTCTCTCTCTCTCTCTCTCTTTTCTCTAATTTACATGCTGCCCATCTCACTATCACATGACTCTTATATAGATAAGATAACCTTTATTGTCATTTTTATCCTGTGGGCACAATGGCACACATCAAAAATAAAATTTAGTTGCCCGCTCTCAAAGTGAAACACATACACGACACACACCTAAACATATTATGAACAACATACGTACAGACCCACATCCCTACATATACGTAGCAAATAAATATTAAATATTGTCCATCTTTGTTTGTTTCATTATTGAACTAATTGCTGCGGGGGTCTCGTGTACACCCCCCCACACACATTGCCATAACTTCTTTGGGGACCAAATTTGAGCACAGAGAACACACACACACACCCTGACAGGATTGTGTACAACAGTTCCATCACCAAAAATCATCTCCTGAAATGCATCGTTCCCAACTCGGAACCTGCTGCAATTAACCAGAGTTAGAAAAACTCATTTGCCCCCTTCCCCCCCCTCCCCCACCGAACATAACTTAATTTTATGTTTTGCGTTCCACCTAAAACATGAATTCTACAAGCACTACTAAATGGTATCAAAGGCCCCATCCATTCAGTTTTTGGCTTGCAAGGAGCAAGCGATGAGGGGAGAAAGGAGTTCATTTTTACTTACTGAAAAATCAGCATCTTCCGCTCTCAAGTGGTCTGCGATATAATGCACGCCTTCCACGGCTAACTTCAAGGCAGGGGACATCAGCAAAAACTGTTGCTCTTTAAGCGTTTTGCTCCCTTCTCTTGATGTGCTGGCTGTTTCCTTCTTTTTACATTTACATTTACAGTGGGTGGCTTTGACTTTAGGCTGGTCCGCATTCAGATGGCACTGTGGGGACGCTGGTGACCCACTAGATTGGCCGTTGGTCTGGGAAGCTTCTTCTTGCAAATAGCAATATTGGATGCTCTTGGATCGGTAACGTATGGTGCCTTCTTCTGCTTTTCCTGGACTGCTGTACATCTGCTGGACGCTTAGGGATCGGCCTTTGCCAATGGAGCTCGACTGAAGGTCTCCAAGGGGGTGACTGGGAGGCTGGAGGGAGGTGCAACTGGCTCGGATGGGTTCGGGGCGCAGCATTGAATACTGGCCCGAGGGCGACTTACACACCGGCTGAGGACTTTTTTGATCTTCGGGGTGGGTTCCAAAGGACGATGTAGGGGACTGCTCATTGCTCTGAGGGCTGTTGGATGACGAGGTGATAAAGTTGGGCTCCACTTCCGTCTCCGACCATAACGGTTGTGAGTTGTTGGCGATTTTGTGCATGGATTCGATGAGCTTCTTGCAGTTGTCCTTGACCATCGACGGGCGTTTCATGAAGAGAAGACGTGGGACGACGTCAAGGAAGACCCGTCGCACCCAAGCGGGCATGGTGTGGGTCCGAGGGGAACGGTGGTGGACATTCAGCACGAAGACGGTGATGATGATGGACAACGTGACAAAGATCATGGTGAAGAGAAGGTACTCTCCGATCAAGGGGATGACCAAAGAGGTTGAGGGGATGATCTCGGTAATGAGAAGAAGGAAGACCGTCAAGGACAGCAGGACAGAGATGCACAGGGTGATCTTCTCCCCACACTCAGAAGGCAAGTAGAAGACCAAGACGGTCAAGCACGAGATCAGAAGGCAAGGAATAATCAAGTTGATGGTGTAGAACAGAGGGAGACGCCTGATGATGAAGGAATAGGTGATGTCTGGGTAGATCTCTGAACAGCATTCATACTTCTTGATGTTGTAGTTGCCCACAGCATTGATGATTACCCATTCTCCACTCTCCCAGTAGTCCAGCTGATCCACGTGGCGATGCATGCTCTCTAAGTCAATCTTGGCCTTGTCGTAAGTCCAGGAACCAAATTTCATGGTGCAGTTCTGCTGGTCAAAGGGGAAGAAGGTGACGTCGATGCTGCAGGAGCTTTTGTAGATGGCGGGAGGCATCCATTTAATCCGACCGTCGTAGAAGAGGTGGGCTTTAGTCAGGTGGGTGACTGCAAAATCCCCGTCGGCACTGCGGGAGGTAAGGAGAAGAGAATGCAAAGTGGATTTTTTAAAGATTTTCCACAAGGGCCGGAAAGCAAGACAAGAAACAACAGATGGAAACGAATCAAGGAGAGGAGCAACCTGGAATTAAGGAGAAACTTTCCTAACAGTGAGGACAATTAAATAGCTTGCCTTCTGAAGTTGTGGGTGGTTTCATCCCTGGAGGTTTTTAAGAAGAGATTGGACAACCATTTGCCTCAAATGGTATAGGGCAGGGGTCTTCAAACCTGGCCCTTTTAGGACTTGTGGACTTCAACTCCCAGAATTCCTCAGCCAGCTTGCCTTGAAGGTAGCAAGGGAATATGTAAACCAGGGGTAGTCGACCTTGGCTCTTTTATGACTTGTGGACTTCAACTCCCAGAATTCCTGAGCCAGCTGTGCTGGCTCTGGAATTCTGGGAGTTGAAGTCCACGAGTCATAAAAGAGCCAAGGTTGACTACCCCTGATGTAAACAATGGGCTGTCCATCCGTAGCCCATTTTCTTCAGCCTGTCTGGCTGTTTATTTGCTGGGTCAGTCATAAGTAAATCAAAGCACATGAGAAACCCTCTTTCTGATGATCCAGTCAATCAGAATAGAGCTGGAAGGGACCATGGAGGTCTTCTAGTCCAACCACCTGCTCAAGTAGGAGACCCTATACCAGGGGTCTTCAAACTTGGGCCTTTTATGACTTGTGGACTTCAACTCCCAGAATTCCTCGGCCAGCTCTATTCCGATTGACTGGATCATCAGAAAGAGGGTTTCTCAGTGTGCTTTGATTTACTTACGACTGACCCAGCAAATAAACAGGCAGACAGGCTGAAAAAAAAAATGGGCTACGGATGGACAGCTCATTGTTTACATTTCCCTTGCTACCTTCAAGCTGCAGATTGCGTCTCGGTCCAGTCAACATTCTTTGCTGAGATATTCATCAAAGGCATAATTGTGCTGAATTATCCTGACTGCCACCATCACTTTCAGCTTTTGTGTTTCCAATGAGTTAAAGCCCTGGCTACATCTTCCCTTAACAGGAGAAATATTGGCCAGCTAAAAACAAAAGAGATCAAAACGCTGACGAAGCTGATCGCTGAGGACGCCACAAAATTGGTGGAGATTTTTCCCCCCCTCTGCATCAGAAGCACCGTAATGATGGGGAAATTTTCATAATTTATTCCCAACCACAATGGGAAATTACTGTCAAGGCAAGGCACAAACACAAAACACACGCGCGCACACACACACACAACACTTCAACTTTCGTACAGTCCTAGCTCACAATTATTTTGTTTGTGCTATGTGTGATGTTGAGACAAATTTTCATAATTTATTCCCATCAACAGTGGGAAAGCTCTGTGAAAACAAAGCACAAACACATAGTGGGAAATTACTGCCAAACCAAAGCACAAACACAACACACACACACACACACACACACACACTTCAAGTTTTGTACAGCCCTAGCTCACAATTATTTTGTTTGTGCTATGTGTGATGTTGAGGGAAATTTTTAAAATTTATTCCCATCAACAGTGGGAAATCTCTGTGAAAACAAAGCACCAACACATTGTGGGAAATCACTGCCAAACCAAAGCACAAACACAAAACACGCACACGCACACATACAGACACACTTCAAGTTTCGTACAGCCCGAGCTCACAATTATTTGGTTTGTGCTATATGTGTGATGTTGGGGCAAATTTATATAATTTGTTCCCATCAACAGTGGAAAAGCTGTGAAAACAAAGCGCGCACACACAGTGGGAAATCTCTGCCAAAGCTAAGCACACATACATACAAACACAAACACACACACAAAGATACACACCAACACAAACAGTGCAGTCCTCATTCACAATTACTTTTCCTGGCTGTTTTCGCTTCGGCTTTGTATGATGCTGGGGTGCAAAGTTTCATAATTTATTCCTGTCCAAAATGGGGACCCAAAACCTCCACAAGTGCCGGTCTAATTACCCACCCTTGACAGAGGCGGGCAGATTTCCACTCCAAGTGACAGGCGCATCATGCTTCTAGACCTGTGGATGCTTGCTTTTTTTTTTTTTTAGTCACTGCCCTTTGAGATAAAAACGGAAAGCCTTCCAAGAAATGGGGAGGGCGCCATCTTGCAAACTGCACCCCCACAACGCAGCATTTCAATATATTTATGAGGCATAAAAGCCATCAAATATTTCTGAAAACATTTCACAGACGGCACCACGCTTCTTCTACGGCTGACCTTCTAAAGAAGGCTAACCTCCATCTTCTTAACCTATGGGGGGTTCAACAGCGGCAGCTGCTTACAAACCCATTTGTAAATGACTGCAAAGGATAAAATGTATATTAAGCTCTTCCTGATAATTAAATTCCCCCCCCACTCCACCCATCACCACCACGCTGACATGTTTTCAGAAAAGGCCGGATCGGCCAGCCTATTACTTTATGTCATACCAAATTTATTAATTGACAAATTGTGTTCATTTTCTTCGCTTCCAAATGCCACACGCGGTGCCTGCAACCTGGGCGAGTTAATTATTCAGTTAATTTATAAGTAAACGAAATGTCTGTCTAGTCATTTGCTTAGGAGAAATTAAACCCTGTTCGTCATGAGAGGAGGTGGAGGACCTTTTTCCGGACCAGTTTGTGAAACGGAACCACAACTGTCCTTTTTAAAGGGATGGTAGAATGGCCGCAAAAGAGATGTGTCAGAAAATGCGACTTATAACAATGTCTGAGGTAATCCTCGAGTTATGAATATAACTGAGACGAAAATTTCCATTGATAAACAAGACAATTATTAAGGGAGCTTTGCCTCATTTTACGACCTTTCCATTGATAAACAAGATAATTATTAAGGGAGCTTTGCCTCATTTTACGACCTTTCTTGCCACAGTTGTTAAGTGAATCACTGCATAACCTAATAACTGC